TCTGGACGGCCGCTCACTGCGGCTGTTGACCGCTCATGCTAGCTGCTGGCTACACACGGTAGCCCATGGCAACCCACTGCCACAGGGGCTGCAGCCTACGCCGTTGCCGGTAACCGATGGCAGCCCAGCTCCAGGTTGAGCTGTTGTTCAGCATCTTAGCTGCACAGGGCAGTGTCACTGGCCCTCATATGTGGGATCCGAACCGGGGTCCTCTGGCGTCCCAAGCCAGCTCTTAACCAATGCGCCACTCAGCCGGCCCTTAATATATTTTAATATATTGTTAATGTTTTGCTATATGCGCTTCACCTATTATGTTTTCTGAAGTATTTTAAAGTAAGTTATAGGCAACCTGACATTTTCATCCATAAATATTCCACTATGTATCCCTTCGAAAAAGCATATTTTCCTATATAACTTCACAATCGTTATTACATCACATAATCAGCAGTAATTCCCTAATGTCATCTAATACCAAATTTATATTAAAATTTACTGAGTTGTTCCTAAAATGTTTTTTACAGCTGATTTGTTAAAATCAGGATTCAATTAAGGACTGCACTTTCCATTTGGTTTTTAGGGTATATAGGGAATTCCCACTCTTGCAGTCTACCTTAGACATCCTTATTCAGTCTATTTCTGGAAGCTATTGGCTTATTTTTTCATATACACATTGGCATTTAATTGTGTAACATCCAATTGAAAAATCTATTAAGTTGAAGCTTTAGGTGATTAAGAGCCAGGGCCTCTTGAGGTAGTTAGAGGATATGGAAATTTGAACTCTCTTCCTAGATGGGAATTTAAATTCAAGGACATAGGGCTATATAGAGCAGAGGTATTATAAATCAGATTATAATAAGGAGTTTTATGCAGTTCTAGAGCATTCTACTACGAGGTAAAGGCGAATTAAACTATTGTTTGCATCCAAAGTCTGATAGTTAACACTGTATAAAAAATTAACTGGAAATGGATCAAAGACCTAAATGTAAGAGATGAAACTATAATACTCTTAGAAGAGAACATAAGTGAAAATCTGTATGGCCATGTATTAGGCAATAGTTCTTTAAATATAACACCAAAAGCAATCAAAGAAAAAATAGACAAATTTGACTTCCATCAAAATGAAAAACTTAG